AGGCAATCCATCTACGTCCTGAGGACCTCGCTGCCACCGTCCAAGCTCGCTTGGCCCCGGCAGATGAACCTCAGGATTAAAGGGTGGGCTCAGTTCCGCGCACACTGTGTCTCACCTAAAAAAATCCAATGCGCAGGCTGGAAGGTGGAAAGACCTTCCCCGGTTCTTCGTTCGCGAAGAGACTGGCCAAAGCAACTTAAGATATATTAAGAAAGCAACCTGTGCAGATCAAGAGCTCTGATCAAGAAACAAGCAAAGCCAAGCCTGCCAAGGTGTGTGCAGCTTGTGCAGCCTGGTAGGATGATCTCATGGACCAGTTTCCAGTTGTCCTTCCACGTGTGATTTTGTTACATCAGAGGCAGTGACCTTCTGGCTTGTACTTCAGTCCGACCTCAGCCGTGCTCCTGAATGACTGGCAAATGAGGGACTTTTTGTCCTCTGTGCTTCTGCTGTTTTTTCTACTACAGTGGGGAAACTATGCATCTTAATTTTATGTTTCCTAGATTATAGAAGGGCTATTGGGCAACTGTTAACAAACAGGAGTTCACCATTTTCTGGATGTTCATCAATCTGACTTTGTGATTCTCTTAAATATATGTAATTCATAAGAGGAAAACTGGAAAGGGAAAGATGTAATGGAGTGAGTCACCATCTAACAGTGTGAAGAGTAAGTCTTTCAGAAGTATGTACAACAGAAATGGAACAGAAAGTTAATGAAAGTTGGGAGCAATTTAAGTACCCTGAGAAGCTAAATGATTAATAGATTTTCCACTGAAATCAGTTAAAATACAACATTACATTTTTAAGTTTTCCATCTGTCCTTTCAGTTGAGAATCACAATTTCATTTGGAAATTTTAATTAAAAAAGATAGGGAGAAAATGATAGTTCCTCTTGTGTGGTGATGTTACCAGCTATAAAATTATTTTCATAGTGCCAGTGCCTCAAGACCTGCAATATAGGCAAATATTCATGTGGCCTCCTCTCAAAAGTTCTTCTTATCCCCATTTCTGAGATAGGTTCCTAATAAGTGTTGTTGCATACATTAGCATTTGTCTGTACTACAGTAAGAGATCTCATAGTGCTAATAATTTTAATCTCATTTATAGTAATATAGGTAGTAAAAGACAGAAGTTGTTGTTACCATGTTCATAGGGGTCTTATTCTGAGAAACAGTAATTTTTTATATTCTTATTTGTAAATTTGTTTAAAAATATATCCACACTTATTTCATGGTGCCTTCATAAGACTCTTAAAGTAGCAAAATAGTAAGACAATGCAGATTCTGAATGCAAGCAAGTTTTTAGGACATTTAATTACAGAGCTTATAATTAACACTTTCCCCCCTCAGATTTCTTGAAATCTGTGATTTACTAAGTTATGGTTGGAATGCATCAGTTCCCTAATCCATATAACTTGTATCATGACAAAGTATATCTGATATTTCTGAGGTTGTGAATTTAAAAATACCAGAAAATAATTAATAGTATTTCACATTCCTCTATAATCCAACTATTTTAAATACTTGATATTTAAACTGTGCTGAATTAGCTGCAGACTTTTTGATAGTTTTTGAAATAAATAAAAAGAACATGAAAGTGAAATTAAATTGACAGATTTACTTGTTGGAAACTATTTAAAGCACACCCCATCCTACCCTGCCAAGCACTGTGTTCAGTTATTAATTTTTTACAAGATTGATAAGGCAGCACCAAAACATCAAGAATCTGTGATGGAAATGTAAGAACAAAACATTTCAAATTCCAGTGGCCATAGTTCTACCCTGAATCTGGATTTTGTACTGCAGCTTGGACTTTCTGTCATCATGACAGATTCTCGCTGACATTGTTGTAAAATGATCTGATTTTATTTTGGTTAAATATTTTGTTAAATTATTTTCTTCAATTATGAAGTGTTTTCTATAGATTTAGGAACTGCATTACTGCTTTAAAATTGATTAGGTTTATCAGGATACTTTATGTAAGTCTGTAGAAAAAGCTCTTTCCTTGGCTGTAGATTTAAACTCCAGGTTTTATTTGCATTGGTTTCCTTTAGTGTAAAGTGATTAGCACAATGTCTGATAAGAGAACTACAGACAAATGCTTTTTGTTCAAGGCCACGGAACGGGCCAGTGGCTTAAGGTAGAAATAAAACTTTTTTCTTGTGACTCCTTATCTATCCAGTATATAATATTACCTCATTTTTACTTTAAAATGTCTTTATATTCTAATGGGAAAATCAAGAGTGAAATACAATTTTTATCTCTATCACGTATTTCTTAACTAGGAAGCAAGAAACTTCAAATAGTGATGTAATGGTTGTTTATTGTAGTGGTGAGATACATAAGTATGTATGCCTTTATTTGCTATTACACATATTTCAAAGCTTTAAATGCCCTAAAAATAAATGCTTGTTGGCCTCTGAAATGTATGATTGCTGTCTTTGAGACAGCTTTTTGCCCAGTGTGATATAATTTCATTTATGTCCGTTCCACAAAATAAACCACTGTGTTTTAGGAAAGTGGAAGTCCAAATACTATAAATATGTAAAGAAATAATTAAAAATGCTGTGAGAAATCCTGTTCTGACCACTCCTACCTACCTATTGGTAGGACCAATTCTTGGATAACCTGAAGGAGATCATATTGACACACTGTGCACAAAGAAATTCTTGGATTTCCCTCCCCTGCTACTGAAAAGATCAGGAGATTGGTAACATTTTCCTAAATCTGTGTGAAACGTCTTGTTGGGAATCCCCGATCTACAGATTTCTGTCTTCTGGAACATGATTTCTTCTACACAGCTCTGCTTTGCTAAATGTTTATTAAGTAGCAGTAGTGAAGTCTAAAATTATTTTGTGTAGACCTACTCCTGCAAATCATTTCACATGGATCTGTGGAGCTCTGTGTTCTCAGAAGAATATGTTTATCCAAATTTTATGATAGGAGTCAAAATTGGCTACTTCTTTACACTTTTACCTCATGAAGCTAATTGTATGTGTGAGAACCTAGATAAGCTCATTTAGAAAGAGATAACATTATCTGTACCTTTTTCTATCTGTACCTTTTTTTTATATTTCATAATAAGTTGGGTTTCTCATAGATGCATACTGTCTTTCTGAGAAACCTCATGCAGCAAAAAATTATCCCCCACGTAATAATAAAAGATATCCTTTTTGTTCTATGCAAGACTGTTGCGCTTTAATTTAGGAAAAAGACTGAGGAGAAATTAGAAATAGTTTTTCCACAATCAAAAATAATTCAGTTGTTTCATATGTTCATTATGTTTTTAACACTGTTTACCTTGTGAAAGATTAGTTAATGAAAAACACATTGAATCTCTTTTTAGTGGAGAACATCAAATCCAGGTATCTACTGTTAGGTGTGGCTTCATGTGATTTATTTCAGCTGTTTGAATGTGGCACGTAGCTTTGGATGTGGCTGCATTTTTTCATTTAATTTCAGTGGAGAATTGGTGAAAACTGTTGAACTTATACCATGTATTTCTTGTGCTAGGAGTAGGTCTAAGTTATGGGACTTTCACTTCTTAGTAGTACAAGAAAAAAACCAAGTTCTCATGGTATGTGCTGATGGTAGGAACATATAATTATTTCCAAGTTCTGTTTCTGAGTTGTTTCTTGGAGTTTATGTGGTTTTTTGTTTTATTTTTTGGGGGTTTTTTTTGATAGCTTCTCTCAGCTGATTTATTGACAAAGCACTCCAAGCCGGAGAGGCAGAGTGGCAAGGACACAGAATAAGCAGTAAAAGAGAGGGGTTGCCTCTCCTGCCTGCCCCATGCCTGGTGAATGGGTTCAGATTCACCTGGGGCCTGTAAAAATGTGTCTGACTGGTCAGGCCCTGGGTACAGGAGCAAGAATAACTGTGTGGGTGTTGGCTGTATGTGGAAAGTGGTTATAGGGTTACAAAATTATTAGGTAGCAATGGAATTGGAAGCTGCTCCTTTTCTAACCACAAGTCCCAATTAGAGTCCTGGTCACTTCAGCTGAACTAGCTCATAATTTACATGCTTTGTCTCTGATCTTTCCTCACTGAAAAATATACACAATATATATGAAATATATACTCGGTTGCACTTATGACTGTCTATCCAGATGGACAATTTTGTCCCTTGACTGGAATATGAAGTTTAAAATGCATTCTGCTATAGAGAGTTTCTAGTCTCAAGTGTCACTTAACTTGTTGGATTGTGCTGTGTCATTTTAGACGATATGGAATTACCTTTGTTTAAGCTGCTTTTTGGTTATGTCTCCTGCAGATGTTTTGCTGTTATTTAAAGCTGTTTCATGACAGATACAGCTTTCCAAATGTTTTCCCCTGCCTTCATTCTGCCACCTTTTTATTTTGCAATACCTATAATGTAGTGTGAAATTAAAGATAGATATTAAGACAGTAGGCAACTGTTTAAACCTTTTTTGCTGCTGATTTTTAGCAATTAGGATTTCTCTGTCTCAGAATTACATGAGGTGATTTAAATGCAGGTAAAGGGCTAACTGACTGGTTTTGGTTTTAACAAAAGCCACATAACGAGTTGGCCATTTCAGACATTTCAAATATTGAACTCAACCTCATTTCCCTTCTTTTCCAGTTGCTGCTGTAGTGCTATTCTATACAGCCCAAAGCCCACATAATATACCTCTGACTGAAGTCATTGGGCCGATATGGCTAATGTTGCTACTTGGGACTGTGCACTGTCAGATTGTTTCAACACGAACTCCTAAGCCACCTCCTAGCACAGGGGGTAAAAGAAGAAGGTATAGTCTCTGTTAAAGTACTTTATCATTTAGGATTGTTAAACTACTGTAAAGAACTTGCATGAAAAAAAATGTAGGGGGTTGCAGTCTCTGCTTTGTAAGAGATGAGAAACTGGTGCTCAGTTTTTATTTGAAACTTTAAAGTAGGTGCTTATAGCTTTTATGCATTGGCTAATTTATGCATAATTTTATTTGAATTTTAATACATTGAATCTGAATTTTTGCCTCTGAATAGTGGTAGAGTGACAATGTTTATGTTACTGCAAATTTAGTCTTATAACTCTACTCAATACTGTCCAGTGGTCTGTGGGAAGCATACATTAAAGGAGATGCTCTCTGAAGTGTAAAACTTGTCTTCCAAGCGCTCCACTGACTGTGGTTTGCCACTGTGAGTTGTCCCATTTAAAATGGGAAAGCCTGCAGTAGTATATTTTGTAGTCTAGGCCTCTGATGATGAAGTGAAATTTATTTTGTTTTAAAGTGTTATGATAATATGCAATGCTTAGTTTTATTAAATGGAATTTATAAAATTTATATGATAAAGCTTTAGCAAAATACTTTTGAAATCTTGCTTGTTTTTGCATGCTTAAACTGCTGAACACATTATAGAACTAGCAAATTGCACTTACAAAGCTACCTTCCAATTTTAATCTCTTCTGATGAAGGAAATTAAGGAA